GTCTCCTTTGTTGTACAGTTCAGTCCCTTTGTTATGATGGTGTCTCCTTTGTTATACAGTTCAGTCCCTTTGTTATGATGGTCTGTCACCTTTGTTGTACAGTTCAGTCCCTTTGTTATGATGGTCTGTCTCCTTTGTTGTACAGTTCAGTCCCTTTGTTATGATGGTCTGTCTCCTTTGTTATACAGTTCAGTCCCTTTGTTATGATGGTGTCTCCTTTGTTATGATGGTCTGTCTCCTTTGTTGTACAGTTCAGTCCCTTTGTTATGATGGTCCGTCTCCTTTGTTATACAGTTTAGTCACTTTGTTATGATGGTGTCTCCTTTGTTATGATGGTCTGTCTCCTTTGTTGTACAGTTCAGTCCCTTTGTTATGATGGTCTGTCTCCTTTGTTATACAGTTCAGTCCCTTTGTTATAATGGTCTGTCTCCATGGTTATACAGTTCAGTCACTTTATTTCCTGTGTAATGATCATCTGGGGTTCAGTACCTCGCATCTCTAGACATACTAATGTTCATTCACACATCTTTCAACAGCTTAATGCCTGTTCTCATGTCTTTCAACAGCTTAATGCCTGTTCTCATGTCTTTCAACAGCTTAATGCCTGTTCTCATGTCTTTCAACAGCTTAATGCCTGTTTTCATGTCTTTCAACATCTTGATGTCTGTTCTCATGTCTTTCAACAGCTTAATGCCTGTTCTCATGTCTTTCAACATCTTGATGTCTGTTCTCACATATCTCAAGATCTTAACGTCTGTTTTCTCATTTCTCAAGATCTTAACGTCTGTTTTCTCATTTCTCAAGATCTTGATGTCTATTCTCTCATTTCTCAAGATCTTAATGTCTGTTCTCTCATTTCTCAAGACCTTAATGTCTGTTCATATATATTTCAAGATCTTAATGTCTGTTCTCTCATTTCTTAAGATCTTAGTGTCTGTCCTCACATCTTTCAATATCTTCATGTCTGTCCTTACATCAACATATTAATGCCTGTTCTCACATTTTTAACATCTTAATATCCCTCCTCATATTTTTCAACATCTTAATGTCTGTTCTTATATCCTTTAACATCTTAATGTCCGTTCTCTCGTTTCTCAAGATCTTAATGTCAGTCCTCACATCTTTCAATATCTTCATGTCTGTCCTTACATCAACATATTAATGCCTGTTCTCACATTTTTAACATCTTAATATCCCTCCTCATATCTTTCAACATCTTGATGTCTGTTCTCATACACTTCAACATCTTAAAATCTCTTCTCACATATCTAGACATCTTAATGTCCCTCCTCACATCTTTTAACATCTTAATGTCTGTTCTTACATATCTCAAGATCTTAATGTCTGTTCTCTCGTTTCTCAAGATCTTAATGTCTGTTCTTACTTATCTCAAGATCTTAATGTCTGTTGTCTCATATCTTAAGATCTTAGTGTCTGTTGTCTCATTTCTCAAGATCTTAATGTCTGTTCTTACATATCTCAAGATCTTAATGTCTGTTCTCTCGTTTCTCAAGATCTTAATGTCTGTTCTTACATACCTCAAGATCTTAATGTCTGTTGTCTCATTTCTCAAGATCTTAATGTCTGTTCTTACATATCTCAAGATCTTAATGTCTGTTGTCTCATTTCTCAAGATCTTAATGTCTGTTCTTACATATCTCAAGATCTTAATGTCTGTTGTCTCATTTCTCAAGATCTTAATGTCTGTTCTTACATATCTCAAGATCTTAATGTCTGCCCTCACATCTTTCAACATCTTCATGTTTGTCCTTATATCTTCCAACACATTAATGCTTGTTCTCACATTTTTAACATCTTAATGTCTGTTCTCACATCTTCCAACATCTTAATGGCTAAGATTGGCAATACAAATGGAACCCCCCCCCACCCAAAAAAAAAAAAAATATCTTCTCTTGTGTCATATAAAAGTAAGTATTTCATACATATCTGCCATTTGATCTAAAATATCAAGTTCTAGCTCAAGTTTTGTTGTTTTGACTTGAGCTAACCTAACATGTATGTATTCACATATGCATTACATGAATTTAGACTTGAAATACAATTATTATTCCCTATCAATTTGAACTGACCTAAAATGCGACACATGACGTGGATTTAGACCTATTGTACAGAGCATATCTCAACATTAATAATCTATTATCTCTTAATGTATTTACATGTCCCTTTACCACTAACAGGTGAGAAGATTGTAGTGCATTTGTTATCTACATGTATATTCGTTTTGACTTAAGAATTTCAATGTCATTTAGAAACATTAAATGTCTGTTGTCATGTGACTAGAAGTGAACTTCAATCCTACTGTGACCTCATTCACATGTACTCCAAAGCTTAAAATCTGTACTTGGAAGAAAAACGTGGAGAAAAACTTGCATATAAAATATCCCTTAACCAAACTGTAATCTGAAATGTAACATGAACAGCAAAGGAAAATGTGAAACTTACATATGTTATTTATGAAAAATCCCTGTTGTATTTCCTGAGAAATACTGCCAACAAACATCTGCTTTTCAAAAAAAAAAAAGGCTGATTGCTTGCTAGCTGTAAGCTATACTATTAATGCATAACATAAACCATACAGGAACCTACAAGAGAAAATTGACAAAGATATATATATATAACTAGTGGTTACAGAGAAATATTGCTATGATTTAGCATCGCATTTGATTTTTCGGCGAATTCTTGAATTTAATTCTTGGGGAATTCAACCCACAATCTTATAATAACAGAATCTCCTTTTCAATAGTATGTTTCAGCTTCTCTCATATCATTGAGGGTCTAGCCAACATATTCAACTTCTCTCATATCATTGAGGGTCTAGGCTAGTCTTATTCTTTTTAAACATTTTACTACTTATGAGTACAAAGGAATGAGTCTACCACTGTAGTTCTTCCTTATACTGAATGTTTATTGCAGAGTATATGGAAGAACTACCATGTTGGACTCACTAATTTGTACTCATTATCTTGATTTTAAGTGACACACCGTGTATACTATTGGATCAACAGCTAGTTCATTGGGATTTCCACCGAAATTTACTCTTAGGGACGTTGTGCCTCCACCCCCTGTAGTGATTTTACTAGTAAGTTTAGTTGTTTTGGATAAGTGAACATCTCCTGATACCAGGACACAGACAGGCAATGCACAGAGGAATAAAGGATGAAGAGCAATTTAAACAACCCATCATCTGATCACAGCTAAAAACCATTGTAAACCAGCAATAAGAAAAATAATTCTACTGCAAATTCATTTGGAGAGATGTAACTAACATATTGTGCGAGTTCCTCTGTAAGGATACCACTCCTATTCCAACTTATTATCCCGTCACATTACAACTATCAAAATAGAATTACATTAAGCTTGTTAAGTAATCATTTTAAATTAAGTCACAAGTACCAATTGTTGACACTGTGGGAGAAAAATGTATTCAATTCATCACAAAGTTATACATCATGCCCATACATTTTGATAAAATTTAATGAAATAGGTCACACAACAAACACATAAATCCTGTAAAAATGTTCTAAGTAATTCTCATCTGTTTTCCGTGTTAATGCATGCTTTCACTAGAAATTACATTTTGGTAAAAGGTAAATGAAGATCTTGACAGTCTATGCCCACAGGTCAGAAAGTGCACTTGGTTGACTTCTTATTGGCAAACAATTTTAATTATTTGTGCACAATGTACATGCCAATTAATGCAACGATGCATGCCGGTTTACAAAATAAGTCCAGTTAAGCAGGCTCATTTTTTCTATGTGCAAACTTTTCATCAGCTTTATTCATCCAAACCGTCTCAACAAGAATTCGGTACACGTGTTTCATTAGATATATGCATTGCAAATATGGAGATGCAATCTTGCAACAATTATTATACCTTTTTCTAAACATCTTATTTCTGTCTCGCCGAGACGAAGTGGTGTAAGCCGACTATTAAAAGAATACTAACAATGCTCAGGGACGTACGTCCCTGCAATGCTCCAGCTTCAACATCAGTGGTATTTCGAGATTAAAATATGTGAAATTTGTCAGAACGAATGTCCTGATCAAGTTTCCAGTTTACTGTCAGTTACTGTATATTACTTCTCTTAATCTTCCCACCTACACTTTCTCGGTGAGCGATGGATTAATCGTTAAGTTAATTAGATTCTTATCGACAAAATAATTAACTAAGATCATTGTCTTCGGCCTACCAGGTCTCGAATTCAACGTCGATAGGCAAGGACTCCACTTTCGTCACACAAAAAAAATGTCAGTTGAAAATCAAGTAACAACATCGTCGGGTTTTTTTTCTCCGGTCATGCAGTTCGAATATGTACTCGTAAATTCGTCGCTGTAATATTATTTTCCATTATTGTACAAACCATCAATTAAAATATCGCGGGAAATGTGAAAATGCGTTGCCGAAACGCTGATTGAATCACAGTCTTGTAAAAGATTAGGTACGGGAGCTAACTCTATTTTTCCGGAAGTCTTAGTTCAAGGGAGGTTATTCTAACTCAAGTTCGAGAAATATCCGCATAAAAAACAAACAAAAAAAACACGCAACTAAACAAATGATTAATTTTGGAATACTTTTCAAATCCCGCTCGCATAAAATAATTTAGATAGCTAAATAATAATAATAATAATAATAATAATAATAATGATAACACAAACACGCAAACTTAGCTCTATGAAAAGGGAAGTTATTTTCTTACCGGATTGTTTTGAATGAAAAACGCTTAAACCAAAACATTGCAAGGGTTTGATATGTGAATATTTTCCTAATACACATATGTCGAAGGACTGAGTCGGTGAAGATAGTGTTAGATACAGTCTCGGTCACGCGGGTGATGGGTCGGTTTGGCTGTAGATAGTGTTAGATACAGTCTCGGTCACGCGGATGATGGGTCGGTGTTGGTGTAGGGAAAGAGTTATATTCGGTCTGTGTCACTTAGCCATGGCCCTTGGTGATTTGTCAAGACACAACTAACATAATATCACAGTATAATTATTTATTGAAATACAAAAAAGCGTAGAAATGATGTAACATGAAGTAATATGTGGAGAGACTACTTATAAAATTACGAATGTTCATGTTGACAATTCAACATCATCACTAGGCAGCATTATTTGGCACTTTTCTGATTTTGTTGGGATTGGAAATCGCGGCATTTTCTTGTGATTTCCTCTTCATCGCCTTCCTTTGTTGGATCAGGATCTATGTAAAATACACAAAGACTTTCGTAAAAGAATGCACTACGTCAATGGCGAAATACAGTGCCATATTAAAAAAACTGATACCTAAGCCTTTCGCTGTTTTACAATAATAAAAAAAAATAATAATAATAACATATCCAGTTTTCAACAATTAGCATTTTGATATGTATAATTATAAGCCTATAAGCACGCATATCAAGTCAATGTGAAGCGACATGCAAATGAACAACAGAACTCTATACCGCCAGTCAGGGACACGTGTAATCATAGAACTACGCGGCAAAGGTAAGGTGAAAAACAGGATGGCTATCGATTTCCGTGTGTATTCACATACCCAGCCTTCTAACATCATATCTAGGAATAATTTTTCCGGGTCAGAGATGAAGTTATTTGGTAATCGAAACACTAATTACTACAACTAAACATTTCCCAAGGCAAACAACAAATAAGATATCGTCACAATCAAAACACATTTTAAAAGGCTACTCTAAGCTGAACTGCCAAATTACAACATATACTGCTGAGTTTCCGATTATGATATAAAAACGGTAACTGTAGTAACAAACTCCCGATAAACACGTGTAATACACTAAATAAAACATAAACATGTTCAGCATCTGTGATCAAGATATTACACCAATTCATTTTTATTTTTTGATGTCAACACACTGGTTCATACTAACAAAAATATTAGGAAAATATAAACAAAGCATCTTACATGGTAAAGATGGCAGCTTGTTTTTGCCCTTCGACTTCTTGTCAAGAGAATGCTGGATTAGTAAGCCTTCTTGTATAATTGTTTCGTCACTTCCGGCATCCTCCATGATTTGTTCTCGTTTCGTGTTAGATGGACTGTCTTGCTTTCCGGCCTCAGCCATTATCTGGAATACGAATCAATATTCAACAACTAGATTAGGTACGCTCAACCTTTACACAGAAGCTTATTATCGACCCGTTGAAAGTACATGCTAGTATCATGGTCCTGTAACACATCCGTATACACCTACACACATACTTCTAATGACACACAAAACTCGGAAATACCACCGCGTGTGAATCGTTTTCCTTGTAAATACTTTTGTCTGCTCGCTATTTTTAAGAACTATGGAGACATGATTCATCGTTATTATTTTGGTGTCTTCTTTCTATTTGATTCCAAGAATGGGTGCTGTTCATTTCACAATGAAAATCGTATATTTCAAGACATAAACAACATCATTCAGTAAAAAATCTAAATGTGTTAAGCGACATTCACAAATGCAGATGATGTATAAATCTTGCATCTATCCTATTTTCGGAAGGTCATAGTCCTTTCTTGTTTGGTGGGATTTCCAGAATATTTTGCACATGACAAACAAACCTAAAATAGGACAAAATTTCCAGTGAAAATGTCAGACAGATTGCATCAAACTCCCCAGATGTCCGGCTGGATTTACCAAATGATTATATTTAGTTGTGTGGATTTCCAACAGAATGCGATACGTTCATTAAAAAAAATCTATACCACTCTAGGGATGAGCACGTCTCTTAAGCTGACACAAGCTAAAAATGAAAATAATTAAATGACAATAAAAGAAGGCCGGAAGAGTCGGCAACAAGGATAATTTTTAGAGTACAGGCATGCTCTTAAACACTGAAAAACGCTCATCAAGCGATATGGATTTTACTGACACTAGCGAATGGAGCTGAAATGAAGTAGCTATTGTCTGGCCTTAACAATGCCGTCTTTATTTTATTATGAAATCTTGTCTGATATAAGTGTACGTGAAAAAGATATTTGAAATGAAATTGACTATATTTTTCTCACATTATTTAATCGTCGGAATGCTTGTTTACATAAAGTAAATGCAGTCATACAAAGAATTCTTGGCAGCGAGCCAAGTAGAACGTGAGCTATTTCTAAAAAACCAAACAGTAGTGTTTTCAGAAAACACAAATGGTCTTGATGCTGACAAGTCCCCATGCATGTCTGAGCTTGAAAGTTTACTGCTACACCATCCAACGCTAGATAAAAAAAAACTCCCTGTCCCTGTAAATGCATTTGCCTTCTCACTATTTTCAAGAAATATGGAGACATGATTCATCGTTGATATTTTGTTGTCTTTATATTTTACTATTTGATTCCAAGGAATGCATGCTGTTCATTTCATAATAAAAATAATATATTTCAAGACATAAGTGGAACAACATCATTCCGTAAATAATTGCTAAATATGTTTAGCGACATTCACACATGAAAATCATGCAGAAATCCTGCATCTATCCTATTTTTGGGAGGTCATAGTCTTTCTTGTTAGATGTGTTTTCCAGAATATTTTGCACATGACATCAAACCTAAAACAGGACAAAATTTCCAGAGAGGAAGTCAGACAGATTGCATCAGCTTTTCCAGCTGGATTTACCAGATGGTTATATTAAGTTGTGTGGATTTCCAACAGTATGCGGTATTTCCATTTTTTAAAAATCGATACCACAATAGGCATGTGCACGTCTCTTAAGCTTACACGTGGAATAGCGTGATTTGTCCGCCATAGAATTCTTGGCAGCAAGCCAAGTAGAACATGAGCTATTTCTAAAACCAAACAGTAGTGTTTTCAGAAAACGCAAGTGGCTTTGTTGATGACAAGCCCCCATGCACGTCTGAGCTTGCAACTTTGCTGCTACACCAGCCAACGCTAGATAACGTGATTGTTCATACATAGATAAGTCCCAATCGATAACGGGCACAATACACAACAACAAAAACATGCTACAACAAGTACAAAATATTCCATCACCAAAACGAAAACAAAACTAAAATTAAGCGCCATGAAAAAAAAACAAAAAAACATACACAACTAAGAAAGTCTTAATCAAGCAAAAACGCTTTTCATTAATGATAGATGGACTCGAAACACCACTTTTCTGAGTCTGTAATGATTTGTAACATACCTGACTTAAACAATATCTTCTTGTCTTGACTTTATATCCCTTTGTATGTGTATGTATGTGTATATATGCGTATAGATAGAATGACTCATAGTCACGGCTTTATTTTATGGATTTCAACGATACGAAATTACGTGTTTTACCTACACGACAATAGCAAGTATATATGTATATATCATGTCTAAACTTAATTCACGGATAGGTGCATTGACCGTGCCTACAGGAACAATTTCAAGATAAATGAACTAATAGTTAAGAGGGGGATATTACTATATTTAACACATACTATGCTTGTGCTTATCATATTTCCTTTAATATGTCATGATATACGTGATTATATACGAGACGACCTCTATTGATTAAAACATGTAGGACTAACATATACAGGGAAATGATATCGGGTATCTAAGTTGTTCTATTCAGCCATATCATTAGCTAGTATACACTGCTGGAACGTTTAGTCAGTGATTTTTGCAGTAATCTGTAACCAAAGTGTTAATTCATTCGAATAGCGGTATTGTTTAGAATGAACTAGATAGACTTCTGAAATAATTAAATGCAAAAAATAAGTGAATATTGAGATGAATGCACCTCCCTATCTGGTGTTTGACATCTATTTAGGTCAATTTGGACTTTTCCAAGTTGTTTTCTTCATTATTCTCTCGTGTGTCTTTTCTAAAAAATTTCAATACACAACTGAGCTAAATGGATTCGAGTATGATTTGGTATTTAACCACTGAAGTATCGCACTAAAGATATATAGATTTAAAATAGATATAATTACCACTGGCAGGAGGCCAATTATTGTAGAATATGGGTTTACAGAAACCAGATAGCTATCTGGTCTAGATACTGACATAATCACAAACATGAGTGAGCCTGTAATTTATCTACTTGAAAGCTTTAGATAAAATTGCAGTCATAGCTTAGTACTTTAAACCGTCCTTGCTAAAATTCCAAGTGTTGCAATTTATGTTACTAAAATAAATGATATTCGGTAGATTTCTAGTTACATTATCGTTGAGATATTTGGTAATTGTCAGTGATGACGTGTTATAATAGTGTAACTTGCAATAATGTCATATCTCTGTATTATAGAAAGGGGCTGTGTCAACCCACAAATTCCTTTTAGTTACAATATCGTTACAATATTTGGTATTTTTATTTTTCAGCGTAAACGAGCTATACTCATCGCGAATAAATATTAATGAGTTTATGTGTTTCTCAATACGTATAATTGAGCTATGTTCAGTTCCTTTCGATGAGGGTTTAAACAATAAAACATTTTAATCTCTTAAAGTATACCGGTGATTTTTAATAATAAACATAGATGTTAAACAAGGATTAGAAAACTAGCTAAGAAATCTATGTTAACCTCTCTTAATTCAGTCAACAGCGTGACTATCACATATATGAATATTTACTAACATATTTGATGAAATAAGCAAAACAGTAAAATAGACCAAAATTATGAAATAAGGCAGGCTAATATGGAATCAGATACTATGCAGAAATCTAATAAAATATTTGTTTCAAAATCAAATTCAGTAACGATCAAAGCAACCAATATGTCAAATTAGTACTGATATTAAAACTTTGAAAGGCAACAATTAATCAACACATGAAATAGCACCAACTATTGCCAATAAAAAATGCATTATATTTGAAAGGAAGACGGACGAAATAGGCATTGATGTTGAGAAATATGGAGAACATGTCTACAACACAAAATAACAATTTTCTGCCATAAGGTAACCACTAGCATAACTAAAAATGTAAGTACGAAATTTGTGAAACAAATTTTCACTACGTGAGCTACATTAAGTACCGAGTGGAGTATGTGATATTTACCATTACTTTCATTTAGATAATTTGGAGTATTTTCGATGTTATCACTTGTTTTGAGTGCTTGAAGAAATTGCATAATTAAACAGATTATTTTAAAGGTGAATTGAAGGAATGAGAGTCGTGATTTAGCATGTTAAGTTCGATTTAAAGTCTGATTTTTTTATGTTTTGCGTAATTTCTGCGAAAATTCTGAACTAGTATTAGAATGGCTTATTATGTAGCAATTGCCACTGTTTCTAATTCTAGTCTATCACTTGGTTTCTTTAAGGACAAATACAATGCCATATTTCTAAGCCAACATTAAAACAAAGCCAGCATTTATTGATATTTTATATCAATAAATTACGAACAGCCATAAAGCTCTTTCAGACTTCTTCTAATGTATTGTAATGAGATGGTATCTTCATTAATATATATAACAAATCTATATGTATATATATATGACAAATCAGAATGATGTTTTCTATTCACTGTATTGAAATAATACGATTTTCTTTCATTTTAAAGGCAAATAAAGCGAACATGTAATATTTGGTTATTTTAGTTTATCCTAATTTCATACACTGCGAGTTATAGCTAACATCATATTTGCTATCAATTTAGGTAAACTGAACAAATATTGCGCTGCTAGACTGGATTACCTTTTCTCCGTTAGACACCACTTCTTGTATTTTTGAAGCGAAGTCTAATGAAGAGTAGAAACACCGTGGCAGGCAACCAGTCTAATGTTGCACAGAACATCTGTTCAAAACGGAACTTGTGGGATGTCAAGCGCAACGTAATGAAATATGACGTCAATAATTACATTACCGTTTCCTGCGCTTTGTAGAACATAATATTCACTGTTGTAAGATATATAATGCCCTTCAATATTTATTAATAAGCTGTAAATGATATTTTCGAAGAAGCACTCTAAGATATTACTTGTGGTAAGTACTGTAAAAGCACACACTTGTTATCTTACAATAACTCTTAACGAGTCAGTCAAAAGACGGAGTAATGAAATGCAAACTGTCTGTCTTTAACATATTGTGTTTTAGCTTCCATGAGGTTGTGTCATCAATCAAGATCGATATTATTTTCGGAACATTTACACAGTATAGAG